TTATTGAAATAATTTTGGAATGAAATAAAAATTTATTTTATTTAGCAAAGTTGGCTTTTCGAGACTCTAACTTTGAAAAATGCCATGTTTCGTACAGTTGGAACTTACAAGATGATACTATGTGATACTCGATTAAATTTGCGAATTTTTGTGCACGTGTGTTTCGTAGAAATTTTTATTGAAATAAGAATTTATTTTATTTATCAAAGTTGGCTTTTCGAGACTCTAACTTGAAAAGCTGCGATGCTTCGTAACGCTCGAAATTTAGAAGATGATAGCACGTGATGTTTTGAATTAAATTAGGGAATTTTTGTACACGTATATTTCGCATTTTCGAGGTGAGAATTTATCTGCTCTCGGAAGTGACTTCATCCGGTATGATTTACCTCTGCGAAGATTTAACGATGATTAAAATGGAAGAGAAACTGCATCGAAAAGTTCACAGCTCGTGCAATCTTGAAACGAGCCGGCCCTCGGTATCAACAGCGTAATTCAAATTTAACATCCACCAGTCTATAATATAATTCCACGTCCGGCAAACAGCGAGCCACGCCCTCGTTCGCAATATTGAATATTAATATCGAAAATCAACCGTAATTAATATCATTGTCTTCTATCGCCGTATTACTTACCAAACTGTAAACTGTGAAATCATCCATATAATAATCACCACCAAATACTGTTCCCTTTGAATCGAGAGAAAAAACAATGTTTTTCTAGTAGTCTGTTTAAAAAATTATTTAAACGTCCAAGTATCTGTTACTCACTATCTGACCTAATTTAATCGGTAAAAAGCTACTAAATCTCTTTGCAGTTTTCACTTCAACAAATAAAAGTCTTCCTATCCTAACCTAATCTACACTGACCAACAAAAATGAATTTCCCTTCAACTCTCACCTAGGCATCCACGCGAGAAACTTTCCAAACTTCTCAAAAACTCCACTCAACTTTCAGCCCCCGTCAAGCCTAACCTCTCCAACAATAAAAAAAAAACACACTAAACTTCCTTCCAATTCTCAATTAATCAAACAAAAGTCTCCGAACCACTGTCACCCTCCCCTCGCCCCTTAATCTAGCCTAACGAACAAAAAGAACAAACCCGAAAATTCCCTCCCCTACTCAATTACTCAATTACTACATTCCTCGAAGCAGCCTGTCAACCCTGCCTCTCGCAAAAAACTAAATTTCACTCGAATCCCCAGCTAAACATCACCGCGGAGAGAAGTTCCCAGAGGGGAAACTGCTTAAAGCGTCCAGTCAACCTTCCCCCACCGCTCTGCCTCGGCTGCGCTACTACCAGTTCGATTAACATTTATAATTCGTCTCTCCCCTCCGGTGGCGCTTTCGCGTGCTCGAGCAAGCGCTTTTGAACTTTCGAGTGGCCGTGAAACGGGAACAAAAGGGCGGGAAGAGAGAGATGGAGGGAGGAAGTTTCGCAGGAGCGTGACGGTATAAATCGTCGATCGGGGCAGGTGTAAGTCGCGCGGCTGGCCAACTTTAATCCTCCGTTCTCCGGAAAAGTTCGAGTGCCGGGGACGAGGCACACGAACGCGCCGGAAGTACGCCGGCGGAGAGAGGCGGGGAGGGAGAGGGGTGGATGGTTGGAGGGAACTCGATTAGAGAATTTTTCTTTAATTTGCGACCCTCCGGAACCGGGGTGGAAGGGGCGTCGCGATCGATCGTCCAAGAAACGGGCTGGAACTTTCGAGGATTTACGATAGGGAGGATTTTGTACCGAAGGCGTCTTTCGAATTTGTCAGCGCTGAGGGGGCGGAGGTAATTATGGAGGAGGAGACGGACCGTGGAAGACGAGTGTTTAGAGAGCGATTGTGCGGGAATTTCGTGCGGTAGGACCAAGTTTTAAGAGGTTTATGCTGGTTTTTCGAAAAAGTTTAATTGTTAGGCTTAATAGAGGCATCTTGATGCCGGAGTATCTTTTAGGTAGTCGTTTTGGCAGTGAGTTTGGCTCTTAGCTGGTTTCGTTTGGAAATTGGAAAACTTAGAATTTGATCTTTTTCTTGTTTGTGTTCAGAGTCATCTGAAGATTGTCACTTAGGCACGTTTGAATGCATTTTTCCTTTTACTACTGGATGCAATAGAAAATAGTGGTCAGGACCGTACAAAGAATTCTTGTATCCAGCGAAAGTCAAACTGATTCTAATATATTTACTGAAAATTGAGTTCAGCTAGGACAATTTAGGGTTTTTTTCTTCTGGGAAAAGCCGCATTTGGAAGTACGGTTACAAGATGCAGATAGAAAATGCAAAAGGATTGTGTAGCTTTAATATTAACATATTTTCCATTTGTAAATGAAATACCATTTTCTACTTGAAGTACCAAATCATATGCTACCATTCGTTTATTGTTGGAACCCTCAAACAGACTGCAACACACGGCCTTGAGTGCCGCAACATCAATCGGTGCCGATTCTTGAGAGTTTAATTTACGACCTCGCTATATCGTGGCCCCAACTATACTTTCTTACAAATTTTCTATTCAAATGGTGCTTCAAACATTTCTCTTATCGCTAAAGAAAAGAAGATATTTAGGTGACCTCTTTGAACCGAGGCACCCTTTATAATGTCGTGCAACAAAAAGTTCATATAAAATTCGCGGGGCGTCGAACGTGTCAAGAAGCAACAAATACGTTCATCCTAGATCGAATGTTCGCCTCGTGCAATAAAAGCAAACCGATCGACCGGAATTTCCGAAGATACCAATAATTCCGTAACGAGTTAATAAAGTGTCGAATGTTTCGCGGTGGACGAGTCTGTGGCTGAAGGGTTTTGCAACTAGTAAGTTACGGGGGAGTAAGTCGTTTTTATCCGAGCATTTTTGCCAAGGAACGCGAGGAACGTGGCGCTGGAATAGGGAATTGCTGCCGAAGGAATTTCAGCGTGAGGCCTTCTCGGTGAATTTTAAGGGTTACGGAATGCCTCGCATATTAGCGTCTTATTTACGAGCTCGAGGAACCGGCAGCAACATCTTCTAACGAACGTCAACCCTTCTCTCTTCTTCTTGCTTCCGATATATTAAAAGATGCGCAAAAATTCGTGCAGACTGCATATTTATCTGCACTTAACCCTTCATGACGACATGTGAATTTAATTACCTTCCAATTTTTTTATAATAATTATTAATTCTTGCTTCCTCAAATAAAATGTAAAATTACAATTTTCCTATGTAAAACTTCCCTATAGTAGCATTAACCCTTTTC